TCTTTATGACTTCCAGAAAGGTACAGATTTGTTAAACAAAACACAAAACTGCAAACCTCTGAGGAAAAGATCAATATGACGAACTAATCTATCAAAACTTCTGACTTCTGACTATCAAAAGTCCCTGTTAAGGAAGTGAAAGAATCACACACTAGAAGTCTACATATTTTCAATATATATAAGAGGCAAAGGATTAATCAATGTTTAAAAAATAAAAGGAACTCCTACAATTTACAAGAAAAGGAAAAACACATAACCAAGAGAAAAATGAGGAAAAGTCTTAACAGATCCTTCACAGAAAGGAAATCTGAGTTGCCAATAAAAGATGCCCATTCTGACTAGTAATCACAGAAATAAAAATTAAGACCAGTGTGAATGATCATTTATAGCCTAGTATAGTGGAAAAATAGTCTGTCCATGCCATGTGTCAGTGAGGACGAGGGCTAATGAGAGAATCTATATATTTTTGGTGAATATACAATGGCATGACCACTTTGAACATAATTTGGCATTATCTGCATTCTCTTTTGTGCTTTTGGTTTTGCATTTTTGGATAAACTTAGGAAAATAATAAAGTGTTTATTTTTGTCTTTTTGCGTGAATTGAATTCTATTTCAGGGCAATCAAATAAACTATGAGAAAAAGATATTCTCTGTGGCAGAATCCTAGGTTAAATACAGAATGAAAGATAGAAAATCATCATTACACAATCCTTATGTAAAACACTGAGGTAGCCTTCATTATTGTGCTAAAACCGCTGGGAAAGACTGGATGGAAACTTTCTAATGGAGTCATCAGACTGACACCACCTGACCTCCCTGATGACACTCACAGAACTTCATGCATTTTTTTTAAAAACCTTACCTAATAAAGTTGAAACTGTATTGCATCAAGCCAGTTGACAGGAAATAGGATGGAGTGAGTGTGTAGCAAAATACAGCACAAGAGTTATTGGTTACATTTAGAATATAAGACATTTCTTAGGACAAATAATCTATCTTCTCCAAAAAATCAACAGCATAAAAGATAAAAAGGAGGGGGACAGTTATAAAGTAAAATAATAAAGCAGTATTGTCTGGAGTTTGATTTAATCAAACCAATTATGAAAAGATAACCTTAAGACATTACATGAAATATGAATAAGGACTAACTATGTATTAGATATATTAGGTAATTATTTTCTTAGGTATAATGTCAGGATGTCAACAGCACATGAACTGTGAACTTCCAGATGTTCACACTGGATTTAGAAAAGGCAGAGGAACCAGAGATCAAATTGCAAACATCCAAAGGATCATCTAAAAAGCAAGAGAGTTCCAGAAAAACACCTACTTCTGTTCTATTGACCATGCCAACACCTTTGACTGTGTAGATCAAAATAAACTGTGGAAAATTCTTCAACAAATGGGAATACCAGACCACCTGACCTCCCTCCTGAGAAAGCAGTATGCAGGTCAAGAAGCAACATTTAGAACTGGACATGGAACAACAGACTGGTTCCAAATAGGAACAGGAGTACGTCAAGGCTGTATATTGTCACTCTGTTTATTTAACTTATACACAGAGTACATCATGAGAAACATTGGGCTGAATGAAGCACAAACTGGAATCAAGACTGCTGGGAGAAATATCAATAACTTAAGATATACAGATGATAGCACCCTTATGGCAGAAAACAAAGACGAACTAAAGAGCCTCTTGATGAAAGTGAAAGAGGAGAGTGAAAAAGTTGGCTTAAAACTCAACATTCAGAACACTAAGATCATGCCATCTGGTCCCATCACCTCATTGCAAATAGATGGGGAAACAGTGGAAACAGTGACAGACTTTCAGAATCGCTGCAGATTGTGACTGCAGCCAAGAAATTAAAAGATGCTTGCTCTTTGGTAGAAAAGCTATGACCAACCTAGACAGCACATTAAAAAGCAGAGACATCACTTTGCCAGCAAAGGTCCATCTGGTCAAAGCTATGGTTTTTCCAATAGTCATGTATGGATGTGAGAGTTGGACCAGAAAGATGGCTGAGCACCAAAGAATTGATGCTTTTGAACTGTCGTGTTGGAGAAGACTCTTGAGAGTCCCTTGGACTGCAAGGAGATCCAACCAGTCCATACTAAAGGAAATCAGTCCTGAATATTCATTGGAAGGACTGATGCTGAAGCTGAAACTCCAATACTTTGGCGTTTCAAAGAACTGACTAATTGGAAAAGACCCTGATGCTGGGAAAGATTAAAGGCAGGAAGACAAGGGGACCACAGAGTGTGAGATGGTTGCATGGCATCACCAATGTGATGGACATGAATTTGAGTAGGCACCACGAGTTGGTGATGGACAAGGAAAACTGTCATGCTGAAGTCCATGGGGTCACAAAGAGTCAGACACAACTGAGGGACTGAACTGAACTGGGATATTCAGAAGTTTCTCAAGTGAGTAGCAGGATAATTGAGTCTTAAATAAAGAGATCTGTTCTAGTTTCAAAGACAACTCCACTCTAGAAAAGTGATCAAATCACCCACGTGTTATGAAAAGAAGTCCAAGAATGAACTCTGGTGATCACCATCATGCATGAAATAAACAAGGGGAGGACTCAATGAGGGATTCTGATATAAAATGTTAGTGTGTTTGAATAGATTTGAGAAGAAAGAATTAATCAGCATACTGATTAAGCAACAGTAATCAAATGATGTAGAGAAGTTAAATAAGATGAGAACTGAAAATAGCACATAGAAGTTTGAAATTGGCAGTCACTCGTAATTTTCGCAGGAGTTATTTCATTTGAATAATAGTGGCAGAGGGCTAAAAACAGTAGGTTATCACCTCCATGAGAAGTCAGAATTGAAGATACTTATTATTTGGAAGAGTTTAGCTGGAAACTGTAAGAGAGGTAGGTCAACAGTTGGAATTCAAAACGGATTTCTTATAGAAATACCTTCAGCATGTCCAGAGGTGAGATAAAGGAGCCAGCTGATAGCGTCAGTATGAGAATGTATGAAAAAAAGAGAATAACAGATTAAGCATGGCATCATTGGAAAAAGGGGTGAAAGGATTAAAAAAAAAAAAACAAGTTGAATACATTAGCTCTAGCCAAGTCAAGGGTTTTTTTTTTTTTTTCCTGCATCTGGGAAAATGTGGTGAGGATAAATGCATGTATTTCACTTAATAAAAATGAAATACTGATTTTTTTTAAGAAAAAAAAAGTTTCTTCCTTGGTGTTCCAGTGGTTAAGAATCTGCCTTGCAATGCAGAAAATGCGGGTTCAGTTCTTGGTCAGGGAACTAAGATCCCACAACTCAGCCCATGTGCCGCTACTAGTGAGCCCATGTGCCACAACTAGAGAGTCTGTGGGCCGCAACAAAAGAGCCACATGACACAGTGACGATCCTGCATGCTTCCGCGAAGACCTGATGCAGCCAAATAAACAGATATATTAAAAAATAAAAGCAAGGACAAGTACTTGTGGCCAGACATTTTACTTCAGAGATGTCGCCAGAAGACCCTTGGTCACTCTTAAGGCACACATTCCCTCAGGGTTCTCGGGAACTCCCAAGCCTTGCTGTGTTGGGGAAATGTGTACAAGTTTGCAGCAGACTGCAGCTCTGAGAGGTTGGCTGAGGGAAAGATGGCATGATGGTTTTAGAGTTAGGGATGTTCTGAGAGTTAGGGATGGACATGTTTTGCATGTAGATGGTGAGCCCAGGAGCCAGGAGCTGCCAGAATGGAACTGTGACTGGGAATAATCAGAAGACTACTCTGAGGGGGGCACCTGCTAATGAGGAAGCTGATTTGGGTTGAGAGAGAGCCAGATTGGGCAGTGGTTTCTATGTTTAGACCCCGTGTTCTCTGTGAAATGTGAGGCAAATCATATATGGAGAGGAGTCAGGGTCAGAGTTGAGAACAATGGTTTTGAGAAAGTGATGAAGGTTCAGACTATTTGGGGGCGTTGGGGAGAATGGTGAAATTAAGAACTGAGAAAAAACATATAGACGGATGGCTGAGGGCCTGGCTGACTTTGGAAACCATAAATTATTGGAAGCAGCCATCCACACCTTTCTGAAATACCCCAAAATTTCCTTCAACATTACCCAGGGATTTTGAAGACAAGAGGATGACTGGCTCAATCAACCTGAGGGTTAGCAGGATAGATACAATCAAGGCTCAAAAATGTCATGGGCAGCAGGGATTATTGTAAGAGGTAAATTAAATGATTTTGCTCTGCATCTAGGTTGGATAGGGAAAGGAGTATGTCTGTGAAATGGTGATGGGTTAGGAACTCTAGATGATAGCAAGAAGGATGGACACCAGATAGCAGAGATATCAGAGGAAGAGTGTTGTTACAAGTGTCAAAACATAATCTGGATACAGCAGTCAAGAGATAAAGCAGAATGCCGCTACGACCATTGTGTTCCAGCATGAGTGAGAGGTGTAGAATAATAGTTGAGCTTGAGAGCTACTCAGAAGGTGGGAGAAGGGTAAGGATCTGCATGTGGATTGACTTGGTTGAGTAGATCCTATGTTATGGGATGAGGGCATTGGAGGAAAGGGTAGGGGTTAGTAAAAACAACCATGAGTAGAAGAAATCTCCAAATAGGCCAGTGGTGAAAATAAGGGAGTGTGAGCTACTCAGAGGCCTGGACTTTGGTTGGTGACCAAAAAAAAAAAAAAAAAAAAAGTGAGAGGAAACTGTATTCCCTGGACTGCTCTTGAGGCTTCTAGACAGGCAAAGTCCCAAGTGGTGCAAGAGCCTTGTGAGATTAGCAATTTTTAGGTTCTATTTATCATTTAAAAGGAATGTCACTGAGAATTCGCTTATCTCATCTCTGAAGAGTTCCCTTCATTGGCCTGTTAATGGAATATACACATCTATGTTCAGTCCCCAGTTTAAATTTTACTTACTTTTTTATTCCAACCACTCCTATCATATATACATTGGAGTTCCAGAAAATAAAACAAATAACCCTTATCTTTACTCTTGAAGGTGTGAGCAATGTGTTGCACTTTACCTCATATCTGTGGGTCTTGGAAGAAGTCGTTTTTTCCCACTAAAGTAGACTTCAAAATCTTCAGTCTTCAGCCTGTGGGCATAGTCAATGTATCCTGACACCTCCTGCCCATGAGAATTTCTGTCACGAATAAAGATCACGGACTAGTAACACAGAAAAACAGAGAATGGAGAGAGAGTAAGTGAATGAAAGTCATTTGAGTAAATTTTACCCGATAATAAAATCTACAGTTATTGAATGATGCATGTGTTATAGTTTATTCTAAGGGCTTAACATTTCATCCTTACTAAGAGCCTATAAGGTAGGTATTATTACTTTCTCCTGAAGAAATTCATGAAAAGTTAACTGAATATGCATATAATGTTCATTTACAGCAATTCAGGGCTTCCCTTGTGGTTCAGACAGTAGAGAATCTGCCTGCAGTGGGGGAGAGCCAGGTTTGACCCCTGGGTTGGGAAGATCCCATAGAGAAGGGCATGGCTACCCACTCCAGTATTCTTGCCTGGAGATTTCACAGACAGAGGAGCTTGGGATTGCAAAGAATCGGACACGACTGAACAACTAACACTAATTAACTTACAGTAATTGTATATAACAATATCAACAAATAACTCATAGAAGTATTCCTAAGGACAGACATTATTTTAAGTGTTTGTAATACATTATTTTCAGTGTTTATAATTATTTAATACATTAGCTTATTCCTAATGACAGACATTATTTTCAGTGTTTATAATGTCTTTTTCCAATCCTACTGTCTTTTCTTCGTCATCATTTTGTAAATTTAAAAACTGAGAAACAAAGAAGTTGAGTTCTTATACAGCTAGTAGGTTGAAAAACTCAAATTAAAACCCAGGTTCATGTGTCTATCCTTCTGATTAGAAGAAAAGAATCACTGCATTCTTTTTTTCATTTGAACACCTACATATTTTCTGTTACAAGAATAGAAATGGGGTCTTTCTTCTTTATTATCATAACAGTCAAAAATTGAAATCTCTTTACAAAATTAATTCCATAGGTCAAAACTTACAGAAACTACATATTTCTCCTTTACATTAATCCCTTCACAAATATCATTGAGTGGCTACAACATGTTAGACATTGTTGAATGTGGCAAGGATACAGTGATAAACAAGACAGTAAAGGTCCTGATCTCTTGGGACTTATGTTGAGGTAAGCAGAAGTAGCCAATAGACATTAAAAGAAAACAATACTCATAGTGAGGGATACATGTCGTAAAGAAAATAAAGAAGATGATTGGTTAGACAGGTTCATGGTGGTAAAGGCTACTTTAGGTAGAGGGATTAGAAAAGACCTTGAGAAGACCTTTATGCCAAGACTTGAAGGCTGAGAAGAGGTAAGCCATGCAGAGATCTAGAATAGAAGCCTATAAATTGAAGGTAACAGTTGATAGAAAGGGTGTAAAGTGGGAACAAGATAATGGAAATGGAAGAAGTGTAGTCTTTTCTCTGTCAAGACAAAACACATGGATCTCAAGTTCTATGGTGGGGGCAGGGAGTGCAGAGAAAAAGAAAAAAAAGCTCTAAATGTAATTGGAAAAGCTCATAATGTATTCATTTCCAAATCTAGATCAAAGTGTAGGGTTTCATGGCGAAGTTCTATATTTGGAGGAATCTGTAAACAAGACTTCCTTTTCCTCTTGAGCAATTACTGGACAGTTACTTGTTGGGTCTTTGTATAGTCAATTATAGGGAGCACTTACAGGGGTTACCTTAGATAGCAGAGTTTCCAAAAGGGTGAAGTTAGAAAATTGAAATAATTCTTTTCCTTGCTACACTTATGAAAATATGCTGTTAAGAACATGCCAACTTAAAAATGGAAGAACAGAGATATAATTTACAATTATTTGTTACTCTGCTGATGTTTTGTCTTCCAGCCTATTCTGGTATGGCACTGGGTGCTGTGAATACTGTGCTGAGGATACTGTGCTAAGTATCCTGCGGCCCTTTCTTAGCACGAGAGGAGGGAATATTGTGCTGGATTAGTGATGTTTCCCTCAGAAATGACTGGATGAACAAACATTCATTACTATTCCTGTGGTCAAATTTAGATAGACTCAATCCTTAGTCCATCTCATTACCCCTACATAACTCCCAGTTAAATTTATATAGATTTCTCCATGCTTTTAGTCACTTAGCTTTTAGTTTATATAACACAAAATCCAAATGGTTAGTAACTCAAAGAGACTTCCTGAAACTCACGCTACTAAAGCAATAACTAGTGTTACTATCCCAACGTAACTGAGGCCATGGGCTATTAATATTTCACATGCTGTTTGAAAGGTACTTATAATCTTTATTCCATTATGGCTGCTCCTGATGCTAGCAAGTCATGCAGGGACATGGAGATGGAAAAAAGGCCCAGAATAAGTCCTCTACTTTCAAAATGGAACTCTATTAACAATAAAAACAACAAAAAGCTCTTCTGTTTCTCTGTCTCTGTTTTTGTCTCTGTCTTTCAAAATGAGAGATTCTGTTGTTATTCAGTTGCTAAGTTGTGTCCACCTCTTTGCAACCCATCGACTGCAGCACAACAGGCTTCTCTGTCCTTCACTGTCTCCCAGAGTTTGCCCAAGCTCGTTTCCATTGATTTGGTGATGCCATTCAATCATCTCATCCTCTGTTGCCCACTTCTCCTCCTGCCCTCAATCTTTCCCAGCATTAGGGTCTTTTCAAATGAGTTAGTTCTTCGCATCAGGTGGTCAAAGTATTGGAGCTTCAGCTTCAGCATCAATCCTTCCAATGAATATTCAGGACTGATTTCCTTTAGGACTGACTGGTTTGATTCCTTTCTGTCTAAGGGGTTCTCAAGACTCTTCTCCAACACCACAGTTCGAGAGCATCAATTCTTCGGCACTCAGCCTGCTTTATAGTCCAACTCTCATATCCATACATGACTACTGGAAAAACCATAGCTTTGAGTGTGTGGACCTTTGTTGGCAAAGTGATGTCTCTGCTTTTTAGTATGCTGTCTAGGTTGGTCACAACTTATCTTCCAAGGAGCTAGCGTCTTTTAATTTCACACCTGCAGTCATTATCCACAGTGATTTTGGAGTTTAAGCAAATAAAATAAGAGATGGACCAAATATTTTTCCAGCAGAATAACAAAGCAGATATTGTTACTGACTTTTCTGCTGAAAACAAATAAAAGTTCTGGATAAAATCTAAAAACTAACTTGTAACATGCATTAATGCCTGAATTTAGGAGGAAATGGCAACTTACTCCAGTATTCTTGCTTGGGAAATCCCATAGACAGAGCTTAGTAGGTTATAAGAGTTGGACACAAATGAGCACTGTAGTAAATTTATATCTATCATTAAGTTCTAGATCAAAGGGAATAAAAACATAAATATTATAGAATAAAGATTGTAAAGTATTAAAATATAAGCTTAATTGTTTAGTTTTAACTTAGTCAAGTACCTAAACATCTTTAGTCTTTAATGTTCTTATGGGTAAAGTGACTGATTTTCTAAAATGCCTGCAATACAGGAGACCTGGGTTTGATCCCTGGGTTGGGAGGATACCCTAGAAGGAGGACATGGCAACTCACTCCAGTATTCTTGCCTGGAGAATCCACATGGACAGAGGAGCCTGGTGGGCTAAGTCTATGGGGTCACAAAGTGTCGGACATGACTGAGCAACTAAATCTGACTTAGTTGGACAGGAGCAACAATAAGCAAAATACGTATCATTTTGTTATATATATATATTATATACACATATTTATATGTATATAATATATACATATATTATATGTTCATTAAAGCTCTCTATCCAGAGGAGAAATATTGTGTGACATCCCTTATATGTGGAATCTAAAGAGAAATGCTACAAATAAACTTACTTATAAAACAGAAAGAGACTCACAGACTTAGAAAACACACCATGGCTGTCAGGGGGAAGGAAGAGGGGAATGGATAGTTAGGGAATTTGAGGTGGATATGAATACACTGCTATATTTAAAATGGATAACCCACAAGGACCTACTGTATAGCACAGGGAACTCTGCTGAAAGTTACATGGCAGCTGAATGGGAGGGGAGTTTGGGGGAGAATGGATACAAGAATGTGTGTGGCTGAGTCCCTACACTGTCCACCTGAAACTTTTACAACATTTTAATTGGCTATTTGCTGTGCTTCGTCGCTCAGTTGTGTCCGACTCTTTGCGACCCCATGGACTGTAGCCCACCAGGTTCCTCTGTCCATGGGGATTCTCCAGGCAAGAATACTGGAGTGGGTTGTCATGTTCTCCCCCAGGGGATCTTCCCAACCCAGGGATCAAACCCAGGTCTCCCATATTGCAGGCAGATTCTCTACCATCTGAACCACCAAGGAAGCTCTTAATTGGCTATACCCCAATACAAGATAAAAAGTTTTTTTAAAAGGCCCTCTGTCCATAGAAATCTAAATAAATTTGAAATCTTACTTCTCCAGCCTTTGAGAATGAAGAGCTTGCTCTGTGATTTTTGTGAGTCCTGATATTTTCGGTTTTTCTGAAACCAGATAACTTCAAGTAAGGTCAAACTGGGTATAAGTGTAAGTGTGATTCCCTCCATGTTCACTGTATGTCTTTGGGTGGATTGTTCAAACTCTTTATGCCTCTCTATATTCATAAATCCTGTGCCCTTAGTCAGGTTCCTGCAAAATCCAGCAAGTCTCTACACCAAACCAAACTGAACACTCCCCCAAATAAAACAAAACAAACCATAACAAAATAAACAAGAATCCAAAATTCTGCTTGGACCTAAGCATTTAACTAGTCAAGCTTCCTCTTTCTTTTTTCTTTTTCTTCTTTGTTGAAGTATAGTTGATTGATTCTGTATGTTTTCACTTATATGTGAAATCTAAAAACTAAACAAATACAACAAAAAACCAGAAACAGACTCACAGATACAGAGAATTAACTAGTGGTTACTAGAGGGGACAAAATAGATGGAGAGGATTAGGAAGTATATGCCGCTAGGTATAAAATAAATAAATGACAAGGATGTAATGTACAGCAAAGGGAACATAGTCAATGTCGTGTTATATCTTTGTATGTAGTATAATACATAAAAATATTGAATTACTATGTGATACACCTGAAGCTAAAAGATATTGTGGTTAAGCCTTCTTGCAACCTC